TTCACTTCACCCCACAATTTAGTATCACCTGCAAACTTGGACAGAGCACACTTCACACCTACATCCAAGTCACTGATGAAGACATTGAAGAGTACAGATTCAAGGACTGAGCCCCACGGGACCCCACTACCCACCTTCTTCTAGGTCAATACTGACCCATCTACTACCACTCTCTGGGTTCAATATGCCACCCACCAGACTGTATAAACATCTTAGTCACAGCCTCTTAATGTATTTACGAGAATGGGATGAGATACCATATTGAAGGCCTTCCTAAAATCCAGGAAAACGACATCCACCTCTACTCCTGCATCTAAGCATTTTGTGACCTGGTCATAAAATGAAACCAGATTAGTCAAGCATAATCTACGTGATACAAATCCATGCTGGTTGCCCTGCTGCATTATTTTTCCCACTGGACTCCCACAAATAAGATCCTTAATAATCTTTTCAAATACTTTTCCAAGGATGGAGGTGACACTGACTGGCCTATAATTACTTGGGTCCTTCTTCCTCCCCTTCTTGAAAATAGGGACCTCCAGGACCTGACCTGAGTGCCATAAGCACTCAAACAGCCATTCCAGTGGTTCTGCTATGACACCAGCAAATTCTTTCAGTACTGTCAGATGTAGCTCATCCGGGCCTGCCAACTTAAACACATCCAGTCCATCCAAATGACGCTGCACCAAATCAGCATCAACAGTTGGCCAGTGTCCCTCTGATGCCCATCTAAGAACCCATTAGGAGATTTATCTTGACCCTAGTTCAAGAACACTGAGGCAAAAAACTCATTGAAGAGATCAGCCTTGTCCCCCCTGTCAGTCACTAATTGCTCCTGCTTGTTCAGTAGGCGTCCTATGTTGCCCTGCATCTTCGTTTTACTCCCTACATACCTAAAAAAGGACTCTTTGTTGTCTTTAATTTGTGTTGCCAGCCTCAGCTCTATAGTTCCTTTGGTCTTTCTGACTGCCTCCCTGCAAGTGCGGGTCAAGTAGGTATACTCCTGCTTGGTAGCTTCCCCCTGCTTCCACCATCTATATGCCTCCTTTTTTGCCCTTAGACTCCCCTTGATTTCTCTGTTTAGCCAAGGAAGTTTTTTGGCCCCTTCCCCCCTTTCCCTTGCACTGGGATCATCTCCCTCTGTGACTGAAAGATTGCTTTCTTTAGGAATGACCACCCTTCCTGGACTTCCATCTTCCCAATACTTCTATCCTGCAGTGTGTCATTGACTAAGCTCCTGAGCCCACTGAAGTCAGCCTTCCTCAAGTCAAGCACTTCCACCCTACCAGTTATCTTACCTACTCTATGCCATATGGTGAATTCAACTGATTGGTGGTCACTCTCCCCAAGGTGACCACGAATCTGTAGCTTCCCTAAATATGTTAGTGTACATACATGCATTATAATCCTGTATTTTCACTGCATTAAATCTGAGTGGGTAACATTCAATAGCTCCTCTGTGTTTCAGGTATACTGGAACAAATAAAGAATGTCTAGTTATTGTAACAGTTCCAGCAGTACACAAGCCTATGAAGACAGGGTCCACAGAGTGATGGCTCCATGAAGTTTTCAGGACCCTCACTGACAGGGATGTGGAGTTAGGAAAGGATAGCAGAAGGCACTGAGAGGGGTCAAAAGGAATACCACAACTGAAGTGTGGTCTGGGAGCAGAGAGCCATTGGCTAGTTTCTATTGTTTGTAGTTATGAGCAGGTAGAGGTATGTCATAAGCAAAGAGGGAGTTGAATGTAATTCCATGGGGTTCTGTTCACACAGGCCTGAGGGAGCTCATGACCAGTGCTGTAGTCATATAGTCTGATAGGAAACTAAAAGAGGTTGATGTATTTCACAAGTATGATGCCTATATGTGACTTGATATCTGTTCAAGATATAATTGAAAAGATATAATTGAAAAATGGTGTGGGTCTCATTAGACATTAATTATGTGAAATACATGGTGGAAAATTAGTTTTATATCTGATGTGAGAGGCAAAAATTTCTTAGGGTAATGTCTTTTGTTGGATCAAGTATGTAGTTGGGATAAAGTTAGACTAGCTTCCAAATGTAAGATGTTCTTCCTCAGGTCCCTGATTACAGGAACCCTGATAATAAGCCAGACAGTTGGTAAATACCGAAAACCTACTTAGAAGTTCTGCTTCCAATATGCTGGTTCTTACAGCTTCTGTTAACACATAAGGTTTAGCATTTCCTGAGTTCACTGTTAAATCCTGTAAATAGATCAAACTCTATTGAACCAAAATAATCAAATTAGTTACTATGAAAAGCTGAGACAAAATTAGGAGTCTTCTTCCATGGATAGACACATTTAACTATCTTGGACTACCATTTCAACTTGTAAAATACATGTGTCAGTGCTAATGTTAGCAATAGATATGGCCCAGGTGTGGCTGGTGAACTCAGACTGGTGGGGTGGGTGGAGCGGCTCATGGGAGCGGGGGCGGGGGGGTTGCAGCCAGCCAGAAGTAGTGAGGGGAAGTTTGCAACCTCCTCACTCCTGGCCAGAGTGCTCGGCCATCTGCAAACACCGCACCCCATCCCTCCTGGCCAGCTGCAAAACCCTGCCCCCCCCCCGCATTCCTGTGTGCTGCTCCACCTGCCTCACCAGTCTGAGTTCACCAACTGCACCTGATCTGGCCTTTGATGCTTTTTTAAGCAGAAGAGCAGTGAAAAGCTGATAAATCATTATTTAGTGCTGTACATCATTGAGGGCACAGACAGAAGAATAGCTCCCTGCTGTAACTCATGGTGCTTTGCAGGAAGAGCCATGAGTTACAGCCATCCCCCAGACACAATAGTTGTTCATGGTTGGGTCCTGGGGGTTGGGGGATCCAGCTACAATTTGGAGCAGCTGCAAGACTGTAGCCACTCTCCCCTAGACTCACCTCTCTCTCCTCCCAGCCCTAGTGTTTTTTTCAGAATGGGAGGGGGGAAGGGAGCAGAGGGAGTTCTATCTGGGTTTTTTTCAACCAGCATTGGAGGGTAGGGCAGATGGATTGGAGCTCCAATCCAGCCACCCCACCCTTCACTGTGGCTGAAAAAACCCTAGACAGAACTCCTTTTACTCCCTTCCATCCCTTCCCCCTCCCATTCTGAAGACAGTGCCAGGAGCCGGCTGGGCTGCATCAACTCAGCCCTGCTCCTGGTGTAGGCTGACACAAGTTAATAAGGGCACTTTGCTTTGGAGCACCTTTATCGGAACCATAACGTAATGAGGGTTAGATTGTCATGAGGTTAGGCCCTTTTAAAGCACTCTGCAACTGTGCACTTCTGTAAGGGCATGACTATAGACAGCTTTCAAGGGGATGATTGCATGACAAACATAACTTGAGTTTGTGCCCTGAGAGAGTGGTAGGAGAGTATTTTCCTTCCTTTTTTCACTTCAGTAAGA